CCAAACCAAACCCGAGTTTAATAAAGGTGATCATAAGAGGCGATCTTGTCCTCTTATGAGTTTTCCTCTGCTTTACCTTCATTCAGGACACAACTAACGTCATATAACTACAATATTATGTACTTTTTAAAAAAGCATCGTGAAAGGAATCTGACAAAAATCATCCCTGTGATCTTTATTTCAATGTCAGTTGATAAAGCATAATATAAAGGAATGTGGTTAGAAGATATTAGGCTAAGTTTGTTTGTTTTTTAAGCCTTGCCAGCTTGGATAGTGAACGCAGTAATAGTAGAATCAAAAATACAGATTGTCTGCACCACCACTTTTAACCCTTTTAAAGTAAAGTGTGTACACTTAACTTGTAAACCTCTTAATTTGTTTGCAGCCCTGTTTTGGAATAAGTCTTATTTTTTGTACCCCAGGTGGGACACAGTCCTTTTTATGTACACTGTTTTAATATAATATCACTTCATTTGTCTTTACTGCAGATTATTATTATCAGACATACTATAAGGATGTTAGTCTTTCAAATAAAACAACTGAATTCTCAGCTCAACCAGGTCAGGATACTGAAGCTTCTACTTTTAAGTCTAACGAGCAGATACAAATAGAAAATGATGCTTACACTAGCAGTGATACCACAGAGAATGTTCAGTGTGGACAAGAAGATCATCTCTCCTCCACTACACAGGTAATGTTAAATGTCCAGTGCCTCAGACCTTGCCCTTTTTTGTTCTTGTAAGGTAGAGGAATTGACTTTGGTACATACATGTATTTGTGTTTTGAACATTCTTGTGTATACTTAAGCAAAGAATATTACCGTTTTTGAGAAACACAGATCAGTACATGTGCATATGTATACTTTGTTTCCCTCCTCCCTTGTGTTTTAAAAAGGAAGTGGTGTTGACAGATCCAGGGACAAGGGAACAACAAGTGATCCAAAATCAGTGGCAAGGAGGGTGTGAGAGGCCTGGTAGGGATTGATCAACGGCATTGTAACTGAGAGGAATTACTGAAACCCAAATGAAGGCTGAGCATGATAGTGGGATAAGGGGAAAGTAAAAGGAAATAGAGGAAAGAACTAGGAGGCAAAGAGCATTTATAGAGGTCTAAATATAGGCATGTACTTATGTAAATATATATGAGGATGGGGAAATAGATCTATGTGCACATATTTACAGGTTTAGTATTAAGGTAGCAGAAGGACATTGGGCCTCCACTCAAGTACTCCCTCAATGCAAGAACACTTTGTTCTATTAAATTGGCATTCCATGATGCTCACCCCTTCCCAACGCGATTACTGAAGACAGATGTGTGCATAAGTAAACATGGTGGAAAGAGCTGATGATACCCGGCTATTGAAAGATATAGTGTCTGGGGTCTTAAAGGCTTGAAGGTAAACAAATGGCCATCTAGCTTAGAAGCAACAAAGCCCACATGGAAGAGGCACACCAGCCTGTGTGATCACGAGGTGTCAATGGGATCAGGTATCAGGCATCAAAGAACAAAAAATCATATCATTGTTAATGAGGGTGAGTGCTGAGTGGGGACCCAAATCCCATCTGTAGGCAACTAGACATCCACTTACAGAAGGGTTGCGGGGAGGAGACGAGCCAGTCAGGGTGCAGAGCAATGATGAAACATACAACTTTCTTCTAATTTCTAAATG